TACTTACTTACTTACTTACTTACTTACTTACTTACTTACTTACTTACTTACTTACTTATTTATTTATTTAACTTATATGCTGCCCACACTACCCAAAGGTCTCTGGGCGGCTTACAGCAATTTAACTACACTAAAAAAGATAAAACAATTAAAATATAATTAAAATATATATCCTAAATATTTGTTACATTTGTGACATTTGTTACCTCTCCCTCCTGTTTTCCTACCACTTTGTCTCTCTTCTTCCTTACCAGGAAAAAAACGGTTAAGATGAGAAAAATGAGATAGCTGCGTAGTGCCTTCTTACTGGTAATACTAAGAACCCTCAGGGAAGCACACCATTTGAAAACACTCCACCACCAATCTTTCTCCTCCATTTCTTCCCTCTAGTTTTTTTTTAAGTAAGGCAGAATGGTTCAGGATTGAATCACTGCCCAATGTATTCTGATCGGGAGCCCCTCTATGTGAGGGACTTTGTTTACATATAACAGAGTGATACCACTGAACTCCCTAGGCAGCGAGCTAGTGCACTGACATGGAGCTTTTTAAAACTTATTTAATACACACTCCCCCTCCTTCAACTCTTCACTGCTTCAGGTTCCACTTACTTTAGGCTTCTTCTCTTCTACCTAAAGTTTCAGTGCAATCGCTGAGAGAAAAATATCTGAGACTTATATGCATACATCATAAGAACTTTCTCCCCTACTACTTTTGATGTGTTTTCCTAAATAGAAACAAAGTCTTAGGAGTGAGGTGATGCCATGTTCATAGTGTAAAAATAATCAAATGATAACTTCCTTATCATTCAGTGAAAATGGAATGATAGCAGACCAGACACATGCTTTTCTATCCGCCATTCCCCACCCACCCATTCCACCCCAAGAGTTTGTGCTGAGGGCAGAAGAGACTTGTTGCCTGGCAACCAAGTGTTTCCTTTCCTGGAAATGGCAAAACAAACAGATGGGGCTGAAATTCAATGTTAGTGATTAATAAATCACCCAGAAGGCATTTCAGCCATTGGAGGCATTTGCTGCCTTGTTCACCCTATGATTGCCCATTTCTTCTTTGCTTCAGCTTTAGAAGGGACATAAGTTGCATTTGACAGCTGGCCACATGGTGCCTGCCTCCTGAAGCTACTAATAAGCACGCATGTCTTGTTAAACTCAATGCAATGGGAATGTTTTTAAGTGTTATGGTTCAGAGTCTGAAGAGTTACAAACGTTGCCTGTTTGAATATGGCTATGAAATGACAAAATGTAACATCTTTTCATGAAAACATTATTTTATTAATATTCCTGAGTAATTTTTTTCAAAGTCCATTTATTTAAATAATGTGAATAGCTTACGGAATATTTCCATTTATTCTTTGCTACATACAACTAGCTTTTAAAGCATGCATACACACAAACAAACACATGTGTGTGTCTGTATGTGACAGACTGACACACATACATCAGTATTAAATTTCAGTGGTGCTGTATTAATTTGAGTTTGTAGCTCAGAGACAGTGCAAGTGACAGCATTTAATATAATGTTAACAATATTACATGAAAATAATCACAGCTCAGTGTTCCCCTGTCAGCATAGGGCCAGATGCCCATATGTCAGTGGCAACTCACATATTTGGGTAAGTGGAGTGTTGCCCCATCTCAGCCATTGAATTTCTTCCTTCCTTTTTAGCAAAACAGAAGGGGTGTGTGTGTGTGTGTGTGTGTGTGTGTAAGTGAATGCTTGCCTACCTGTTCTTTTTGAATGTGTTTAAGTATGCCTGTGTAGTTATAAACACCCAACCAGTGTGGTGTTGTGGACAGTGAAAAGATTAGTAGTCAAGAGATCTGGGTTCAAAATCCCACTTGGCCATGGAAATTCACTGAGGGGTGGCAATGGTAAACCACTCCTTGAATGTTTCATAAGCATCAAAAACCCCAGTGGGGTTTTCGTAAGTTGGAATCCTCTTGACACCACACAGTCACATGCATATCCATTCCCACCTCTTGCTCTGCCCACCATTGAATGCTGTGCTTTCTGTCCCACCAATTACAATGAGCACCTTCCACCACTG